TTTTAAATGTTCTGTGCCACACAGTCTTTGGTTTTAAGAAACCTATCTGGAGTGTCTGAAGGCAGAACAAATCTACCACTTGGCTTCTTAATTTTCTTTCCCCTCCCACTGATCAGAGTGGTTCTGTTTTACATCTTCTTTGTTGACTAAAGGCAGGTGGTGCTTTTTGCTTTCGATCCTGCTCTCTCCTCCCTGCTCTTAATATTCAATTAAGCAAATGGACCAGATATGTTAATCGTTCTACCTTTTTATCTAAGCATCAACTTCTCTTTTCATGCCTCCTCTGAGGGTATCTCCCATGTGGCCCCTATTTTATAAACAATCCAGTGGTTTAAAATAGTTTAACAAATTACAAATTTTATTTTTATTCATTCCTCTTGTATTTTTATCTCCGAAGGTAAAGGTAGTGACCCAGGACAGCCCGTCTCTCTTGCCATCCCTCTGTGACTCAGTTCCACCCATGACTGTCTACAGGGAAGGCTTGTGCTAGAAAAGGCTACAGAACGGGTCACCCTGCCCTTGCCCATCCCCTTTCAATCCATTTCCCACAAAGCAGCCAGTATGATCTTTTAAAGCTGTATATTATCCCTTGTTAAAACCCTCAAATAGTTTTCCACTGCATTTACAGTATGTTCCAGACTCTTCCTCATGCCTGTGAGGCCTGGTGGCCCCACTTGCCTCTCTGACCACAACTTCTCCAGTTTTCCCTCTTACTCAGGGGGTCAAGGGGACTGACTGGATGGTGATGGATGGAAGCTAGATTTTGGTGGTGAGCACACTGTTGCATACACAGAAGTAGAAATACAGGGCTGTACACATGAAACTTACATAACGTTGTAAGCTAATGTTACCTCAATTAAAAAAAAAGCATTTCTTGGGCAGTCTCATTCCTTCCTGCTTTATGTTCTTCACAGCACTCGTCTGCCCCACTAGAATTTAACTCCACACAAGCAGGGACCTCACCTGCCTGTTCCCTTCTCTGTACCCCAGCCCTGGTTCTATGAGATGAGGATGCGTCAATGAAGAAAACATAAAAAGTTCCCAGAGGAGCTTCCCTAGGGGTGGGGAGGGGAGGCAGGCATTAAATGGGATAAACAAGATGAACAGGATGCTGGATGGTGACAGCGCAGCGGAGGAAAGGAAAGCAGGGGATGCTAAGGGATACTGTACGTGGCACTGAGCAGGTGACCAGACCTAGTTAGGGATGGAGAGAAGCCACCAGTCTGGGGAAGAGCTTTTGAGGCAGGGGGACCACAAGGCACCAAGGTCCCGAGGCAAGGGTGTGCCCAGAACATCAAGGAGCAGCGGTGAAACCAGGTGGCTGGAACGGAGGCTGAGGGAGACAGTGGTGGGGAGACGGCAGGCAGCCAGGTCACCCAGGGGGTTTACATCGTTGTGAGGATCTGGGCTTGGCTGTGTGAGTGGGGCATCCTTGGAGGCTTCTGAGCAGAGGAGGGACAAGATGAGAGGATGGGAAGTGGAGCACATGAGGGGAGGCTGCTCTTAGAAACATGAGAGTTCACCCACAAGAACAGGAAAGACTGTGGACCACATGCCACAGGTGCGGGTGGGCTGGGAGCTACAAGTTTCGGGAGCTGGTGGGACCTTCCTCTTGATGGCTTTTCTCAGTGCAACAGGCAGCAATATCATCAGCTGAGAGAATGTGGGTGAGGAAGGAGGTATTGGAGGTTTCCAGAGAAAGGACAGGGGAGAAAGTTTTCTAGATTAGTGGGAGATGACTGAACTGGGGAAGCTCAGGCGGCATGGAGGACCCCCACTGAGTAGACGGGGAGCTGGACTGAACCAGGGTTTCCCAGAGCGGGTACAAGCAGCGGCAAGAAGGCCACCGAGGATGGACGAGTTCAATGACGGACCACAGAGCATAATCACATGTAGAAGACGAGGAAAAATAGCAGCAAAAAAAAAAATGCAAGCTTGACATGAATGGAACCGGACTGATGTGGAAAAATTCTCATAGATGAAACCTGAAGGTCTGGATCCTGGGAGATTCAAGGAATGTTTATTAAATATCAGTCAACACGTATTGAATGCCTTCATTCAAGGAACCATGAGAGGTGCTGCAGAAACATACACTCTAATGTCCAGTATGAAAAAGAGTAACTCACCCAACGGTAAGTAAAAAGTTTTTATTGCATCTCAGACATGGTGTATGCGTCAGGAGTTGGACTGAAGCTGTTCGTTTTTTTCTTAATTTACCAAATTAACTATTATTATTAGGTAGATGCTTCTACTGAGGTTAAACGCATGTGCTTCTGTTATAACACGATACCCGTGTCTCCGGAAAAACCCATGCTCTACAGAAAAGGCACCGTCAGTTACAGGCTTATTGGGACAACAGGGTTGGAGCAGGTCACTCAAAACCTTTGCAGCTTTGAACACACAGCACTAGCCAAAAGGACATTTGGTACTTTGGGAGCGACCTTGGGTATCTAGGGCAGGTATTAAAGATGCATAAAAACAATCATGGAAATAAGCGATGCGAATGGATGCCAAACTCTGACCCAGCTGAGGGTGGGCGGTTATCCACGAGGAAGCAGAACCCAGAGGGCATCCTTAGGGGAGGGAGCCCTGGAGGTAGAGACTTGGAAACTTCCACATCCACTGTCTTAGTGTCCCAGACTTATCAATCACAAACGAGCCAACTGATGTCACAGAAAGAATAACTTGTCTTTGTCCTTAAGTTAAAAACAAAACAAAACAAAACACAACACAACTATCTGGGAAGCATGGCTCAAAATTTAAGATTTTTTTATCCTTAGGCATAATAAAATATCATTAATTTGACTGCCCCCATGCAAAAATGACTCATAGTTTACCTTCTTGACCTTGGCCTCCTTCAGTTTTTCCAATGCCAGCTTAATTTTATCAGCCTTGGCTTGAGCTTCTGCTTCTTCCTGTGAAACAGCAAGACATTCAACACAGTCCATTAAATAATACCAGTAGGTACCCACGCCATCACTGGTGTCTTCTGGCCAAAGGCTGTATTATAGGGCACCAAATCACGTGCTTGATTTTCAGAATTTAAGTGACCGTAACAGAAATCTTAAACCCAGAGATACAGAAGACAGTCACCCTTTATATCTTAGAAATAGTAACTTCAAAGATGGAATGATGATTCAGGGCTTCACATAGTTAGTCTGCAAAAGTCTCTGTTTGGCTCAAAACTGGGTCTAACCTGAGAAATCTCTAGGTTAATCTCAAGGGAATTGAGCACTTCCTGAAGCTATATACATTCTTTTGGATCAGTATGCGTTTGCTGGGATTCCTGGTTTTTATTAGATTCCTAAAGGGGTCTTTAACTTACCCAGAGTTAAGACTTAGACTCCAACTGAAACTTACAATCATCCAAAAAAAAAAAAACCCAAAAAACAAAAAAGAAAAACCAAACCAAAACCCAAAACCCCAATATTGACAAACACACATGAGCAGGCAGAAAAGAGAATGAAATATTTTATGAGCCCAAAGCCCTTAAGATTTTTTTATGTTAATGTTCTTAGAATAGGATTATTAAGGCTCTCCTACCTATTTATAATGATAAGGAAATGAGCCGTTCTGGTTGCATTTTAATTACTTGAAAGTGGACATATATCTTCTTATACCAGTAGTTCTCATGTTGTTTTTGAGCCACATATCCCCTCAAGGAATATGCTGAAAGCCCTGAAACCCATGAAGCTCCACATATGCATTCAACTTTGCATACAGCTGAGAGTCATGGCCTCCCTGAAATCTTCATGGATCCTGTATTAAGAGCCTCTGTTTTTAGAAAGGCCGTTATCAAAGACAAGAGATAACAAGTGTTGGTGGGGAAGTGTGCACTGTTGGTGGGAATGTAAACTGGTGCAGCCACTGTGGAAAACAATATGGAGATTCCTCAAAAAATTACAGGTGGAACTACCCTATGATCCAGCAATTCCACTCCTGGGCATTTATCCGAAGGAAACGAAGCCACCACCTTGAAGAGACCCGCACTCCCTTGTTCAT